GAGTCCAGCTGTGAAAATAAGATGGGAGCTGTATTAGCTTTCTCCATTCTGTTTCTCACATTTAAGTGTTGTCAGTTGATGAGAGTTAGTCCCTTGAGAATTGTCGTGGGGAAGTTTAGTCCATGTAAAGTGAAAATTTTGCATCACATAGAGGATCTTGTGAAATTCTGTAAGGCAGGAGGACTACATGCTGAGATTCATAATGGCGAGGAAGAAACAGTAGAAACAGTAATCTGCCACGTGCCCTTATCTAAAAGTGCTTCTTGAAAAAAGAAGGCAGTGTGTTTGCACTGTGGAAGCTATCAGAATCTGTCACATATTTTAACAGTCAGTGTTTAGCAATGGATAAAAACTGGTAACTTTAGACTAATGTTGAATGAATATAAATCCCAAAGGGCCAATTTTTTTCTTGCCTTTCACTTCTATTTCTGTTTCTAGTATTGTATAAATTTCCATTCTTGGGTCAAAAGCATTGTGAGCAAGAAATAAACTCCCTAGCAGAATTTGTGTATTGAGAAATATTGAATTAAGAAAGCATATCACACTCAGTTTCTTTAAGACATTTGTTGCATAATGTCTATGCAAACCTTTTACAAAGCTTTTTGTAATCTCTCAGCTATTTGCCCTTTGTTTTCCAAATCATAGAATCACATTTATAACTCAAAGAATTCTAAATTAATGTCAGTTTTTAATATCATGGTTTTACTGTGAACACAAGAGAAAGAATCTAAGTTAAGCAAAGAACAAACTTTTAAAGAAATCAATGCGCTTCTGCTTCTTTTTAATTAGTATTTGCAGTCCTTGGCAAATCTTTTAACTTCTGTTATTCAAATTCAGACCTATCTAAAAAGTAGTTTACTCTGTTTTAGCTCCACTCTCCCAGCTTTCCAAAGAATAGCATGCTAATGAATCAACCATTTCTGTCTGTAAGGGATCTATTATGCTCTTGCAGACTACATTACACAAAATTATTGATTTAAAGTATGCAAAGGATGTATTTGATAAGTACAATTAGCCTCATCTCATAGTTTGGGTACCGAGTGATGTAAAAAGCGAGGGCAAATGATGGCACCCTTTTGTTGCGATGTCCTAAATGTAATCAAATGAAAGTTATGAGGATGTTGCCTCAGGCTGTTGTGCCTAAGAGCATAGCCTATGAGCCCACTTGTTTCCACAGCTCTGTGACTAGCGACTTGTGAGTAAGCAATGCTGAGGAAGTTGGATGTCACTGTCTGAAACAGTAATTTGTTCAAGATAACAAAGACAGCTGAAGCAAAGTCAATATAAAAATATTTGGGTATTCAATTCTCAGTTTTCAGTGCTGGTTAGAAGATCACGTTGTGTGCTGCCTAATAATTGCAATCAAAGCAATGTTTCAGCTACAAAAATAAAGTTCTTACATCTACTTGTCCTTTGAAAATATATAGTGAGAGTCATATTTATTGCTAGCATCAGGTCATGGCATCAGAAACACAGGTTCTATTATTCTTATTTTGTTGAGTGTATTTTACTGAATACTCCTGTGTAGAAAACAGTACTAGACCACATGCATAAAGGTGGCATATGCTTTCTGAATTGTTGACAGTGGTTTTAGCTTTTAAATAAATGACTAGTGGGCCAACTGACTTATCTACTGTATTAAAGGAAACAGTGAGCTGTGCAGGTTTCCTCGGCAAGACATGAGGTGCTAGACTTACAGTACCCACTTGGAAAAAAAAGAAAAAACATCTTACGTGACAGTAACTAAAGCATTAGAGTTGATGAAGTGGAAAAGTCACAGCCGAGATCAGGGAAAGTAGAACTTCATATTCAGGATGGCATTAAAGACAATGAGTGGCATGGAAACTGAAGGCATGTCGTGTCACTCATTCCTTAATTTCTTCTGTTGTGATGGTTTTACTGTGCATTGTCATGGGATAACGCCGTAACCTAATAAAATGTGCAGCTGATTAAAAAGCTGCTAATGATAAAAAGATCTGCAATTAAACTAATAACTAAAGTAATTTACTTCCACTAAGAAGAGTGTCAATGTAGTTTAAAAATCAGTTCTGTGGATATTTTTTTTTGCATGAAATAAATTTAGCCAGCTCAGAAATGGAACAGAAAGCTTTTAGTAGTTCAGAGTAACAGAATGCCAGTTAATGACATAAAATGAAAGCCAAAAAATACTACTGGAATAAGAGAATGTGCAGTAAGTGCAATGGAATACCAGTGTCTTAAGATGCAGGCATTCATTGCTAGGGAAACTGGAAGATGAATCTGAAGTATGTGTGGCATTAGAACAGAAGGAGGGATGGTACTGGGTCAGAGCCAGGACTCTCCATGCGAGTTATCATCTGCAGAGAAGTAATGGAAGCACAGAATTGAAGGGTCATTGAAAAATGAAACAATAATAGCTGCTGTTTTAGACTGAGTGTACTCACACCGGATACCGCTCAAGAAGTCTACCAACTCTGAAATTATCTTGAAACTTTTTATTGTAACTTGCTAACTTCAGCTACTGGTGCTGATTAAGTCCTGCTGGATAATAATGAAAGTGAAAAATATGGCATGGGGAGGAAAGTACTCTTTCCTGCAATCATCTGAGTTTTCTTGGAAGTTTCCCAACTAAAAACTGACCTGGTCTGACCCTATTCAGTTTGTGAGACCGGATGAGATCACAGCCTGAGGTTATGGCACTGAACTAAGAAAAGTGATAACAAAACAAGAATGGCATGATTGACAGGGTAGTAGGCTGAGTACAATAAACCTATGGAGAACTGTGTGTCTGTATTCCACTCCTTAATATCCTCTTCGTAGATAAGAAAAATAAGCCTTACCTTGGAGCTAAAATAGTAATGGGATGAGGGCTGCCTGCATTGCTTGATGACCATAAACAATGTTATACAAAGATGGATTACTGGAATGGAAAGTGGGTACTCATGAGAAGTTACCTTGAGGCAGGACTGCAGCAAGAGCCATCCTGTGCCCTTGTGCTGTCTCCAGTTATCTCCTTTTGGTGGCCCTGTGCTTCTCAGTAAGCTGCAATATGACCCTGTGCAGTCTGGCTTTAGTGCTTTTCACTGTTGGGTTCACTGGGGCTATATAAGATTATTTTGTTTTCAAAAAAACTAAAAAGACATGTGAACAAGTCACTGAAAGCCTTTACAGATAAAAGAAGTAGTCTGCAGAAAGCTGTCTAAAGAGGTTTCTTTTGTAATGTACCAAAAGCAAGCAGCTATATATGACAATAGAAAAAATGGCAATAGAAGACTTATGTAAGGAAGCTTAGTTTTCTTTTTTGTCCATGTTTTTCACTAATCTTGACAGCTACTGAGACACATTCCATTAAGGTTGTGATGTAATTATATGGAACTCATTTGAGAGAGCTGTAATTACAGATTTTTCTCTTTGCATTGAGTTCAGTAAAATTTGAAAGTAACTTCAGAAATTAGGCATAGTTTTGATATTATTTTGTAGTGTGATGAATAGGGAGAAATTCCATTAATGTTAATGGAACTGCTCTAAATTGTTAGCAAATACTTACAAGTTTTCAGTGCTAAGAGCCTCTGTATGTTAGCTCTTGGAAAACTAGCTGTTTTGTAAACGACTCACTTCTATAGATTATTTTATAAGTTATATAATTTTCTCTGAAAGTAATGCCTCCTATTTATTTCCATTGAAACTGCAACAGATACAAAGAACACAATAACACTATTTGATAGAGCAAATTTTCAGTAAAAAAAAAGAACTATTTCTCAACATAGTCACCACTGTTAGCGATGCATTTTCATAAGTAATGAGCCTGTATGACATGCTTGTAAAAAGCTGCACCAGCTAAGGTACCCAACTGTTTTTGTCACTACTGCTGAAATGCGTCACCCACTGCCTCACTGTGCTCACGTCCACTTTTTGGTTTCCTTAAGTGCATCAGTGATGTCAATGGATGCCATTTTTTCCACCTGGAGGAATTCAGTGACACACCTTTGCTCCATGCTCACTTCCATATCAGCCACCACTGTGTCATGCTGCCCTTCTGCTGGAATCTGTGACATGGCAACAATGTGGAATGGGATGTTGGTGGGAAGGTTCAACCTCTACTGTACCACTAACATCCACCTCTGACCTCAGACATCTGGCCAACATAATACTTTTAGTGGGTGTTACTTTCAGAGCAGCCTATGTATATGAAATTTGAAGGTCCATATAGGTGGCATCTTTGCTTGGAACAAGCTTGTAACAGAGCTGGGACAGATCAGAAGTCTCTGAAGACTTTTTTACTCCTGTACTTCAGTTGAAGATGGGAATTCAAATACACTTCCTAAGAATTCACATTAGAATCTTCCTATTTTAGAGATTTAGAGCAGTTTTTGATTTCTGGCTGTGAAGTCCATTTTCTGTTGAAACAGAAAAGGGTGTTTCTGAGAGAGCACGAAGTTCCATAGAGGGGAGAATAATTGGAGTAAAATCATAAATTAATCAGAGTTGTTGCTAAGTTGTTGCTGATTAAATAGGTTTTAAGCTAGTTCTAGTGAGGATCTCCCCATTTTTCTGTCTCCACTAAATTCGATATAAAGGTCACAAATATTTGGTTTATTATTTTTGGTGCAACCCTGAATAAGGGGTTTTTCTTTCTTATTAAAAATATGAAATGATTGTCTTCTGTGCCTTCAGAGGACATGAATTAATTTGGAAAGCAAAAGACCAGTTTTCTGGTGACTCCAAATTACTGTTTTATCTTCCTGTGATGAGTACTGTGAATGTTATGGTCATACATTCTATATGAAATTGAAATGCAGTAAGACATAAAATTATTTTAGTACAGTTATCTCAGTTGTTGCAAAATACTATCTGCAGTCAAATTTGCAGGCATAGTTTTGCAAGTACTGAGAAGTCACTTGCTCCCTGGGAATAAAATCACTACTGCAGGGACATCTGAAATCTGGAATACAAATCATTTTATAAAGGGAAAGTGGTCCAATTCAAGTCTTTGTTACTAAATTTGTGTCTACACTTTTCAGGCATCTGATCTACTTCTTGGGAAAGATATTGGACAAATCCATGATTAGAGCCTTTGTAATGTAAACCATTCCTACTGTGTTGGAATTGATTACACACATTTGGTGAAAGATGATTTGAATGGTAAGTCACTTAGTCATATTCTCGTTTTCACACATCATTCAGCTTCCTAGTGGCCTTCTGCTCATTCTTTTCTCTGTTCTCGCAGCAGTATGCACAGCATGTTCCCACCATTGTTCAGCATATAGTTTAAGATGATATTAAGATAGAAAGATCAGTGTGAATGTGCAGAAAATGCTCCCGCTGAAATGTCTGTGCTTCTCAATTGCACAGATAGCTAAAACAGCATTTAAACATCCCCAAGGAAAACAGGGAAATCTGCAGAATTTAATGGAGAGATGAACTAATTGCTGCAAATAATTATGAAGTCCCGGCCTACAAGTGGCTGGGCATGCTTTGTTTGCCAGTGCAGTTTGAGGGAACTGAGAAGACTCAGCAGCTGCATCTCTTGTATTTCACCACATGGACAAATAAACTTTGCTTTCTACTATGTAAATATCTGAAGCTGAAAATAAGAGAACTGAGCCAAAATTGAACCTTGGCCTCAATTCTAAATCTGCATCAAATTTATCTTTTTATAATCACCATTCTAAGTTTCCTCATATGAACATGGTGAACAGTGAGATTCTAAATTCCTCAGATTCTAAACTGTTTTGATTGTTCTTCTGCAAAGACAGTATCATAGGAAGATTCAAATCCCGTAATTATGAGCTCCACAGTTTTCTTTTTCTTCCTAAATTCTTGCATAGAATTACAACCTCTCATCCTGACATTTAAGTCACTTAGACATCAAAAATTAAGATTGCTTGTTTTCATCGAAATAATATTGGCTGAACTGCATGACAACATTTCCTTACCCCATAGTTACCCAGAGACATGGTCTTAACAGTATTGAGGCTTTTTCATTGTGACAAGGCTGTGTACTGATGGCTGAGAAAAACACCTCTAACTACATCAAAATCTTGATTAAAAATATTTATCCAGAGTCTGAAGGTGCAGAGTGGTGCTCCAGAAGCCTTCTCAGCTGTTCCTCAGTACATATGAGTTATATCAGCATGGCATAATGCAGTTCTGAGTCAAGAAATGTGGGCTGCTGAAATGAAGAACTGGCATTATAGCTACCCTAGCATCAAGCTCTTCTTAGACTTATAAAGCCTGTGGTTCTTGTAGAATACATGATTGGCCAGTTGAGGCTCCCTGTCCAAGCTTAAAATGCGGGTACAAGATTGCGAGGTGGGAGGATGCAGCAAGACAGCGTGGAAGGTACACGGAAGTACTGTCTGAGAACGCATTGGGCTAATTGATACGAAACTATGCTCTCAGCCTGCTCCTTGTAGCTGAAAACCTCCTTTCCAAAAACTTTATATAGAGCTGATGAGACCTTCTATTCATTCTCTCACTGCATCTCTGCTTAGATTTCTGTTGAATTAAGAGTATGAGCAGTACTGCCCCAACAGGTGGGAGCATTACAGGAATCTCCTAAACTTGTCAGAGAAGTAGTATCTTTAGAAATCTTGATGGTTGGACTGGAAGATCTTGGAGGTCTTTGCCAACCTGATTCTATGAAATTGTATCTCAGTAGGAGCAAAAAGTGCTAAGGTCTTCCAGGCTGAGTATCAGAGCTCTGTGGACCTAAGGTAAGAGGGACATCTGGTTTGTCTTCTCTTATGACAGGGCAGAATCTCTCCAGTCATCCCAATTTTGTTCTGTATATCAAGTGATAATCATGTAAGAGAGGAAGAATTGTAAATGCTGTGCTTTGTACATGATGCCCATCAAAGCTCTGATATTTGCAGTAAGTGGGGCTCTATATTTGCTTCTCTTATGGGCATATTAAAGATCTGAACAATCACTCTGCAGCCAGTGAAGCCACCTTCTAGTAATGTATTCCAGTCTTGGAAAGATATAATGCACCTGCTGTGTGGACTGAAGGGAGCACAACAGAATTTCTTCCCTGCCTCTGCTTCAGGCAATATTCCCTAGCATTCCTGCTTTCTGGTAAATAAATCCGTGCATAAATAAGACATTAAAAATAATTGCTTTTTGATAATTTTTTTAGTGAATATTCCTATTTGCGCAGGGCTCTCTTTGATTCCCCTGAAGCCAGATCTGGCCCATATACAGTGAAAAAAACGAGGCAGTTTGCTCAACATGCAAGACTCTTTATATTCTAGCAGTAAGAATCAAGCAAAAAGAAAAGGACTTTTTTCTTCCTTTGTCTTCCAGCAATGTTAGCTTAGGCAGCCACCAGCACATGAACATTTACATAAGGAGAGAACTGCAAAGCTGCTGCCAACTGCCCATAGTGCCTGCCAAAAACAGATGTTAGATGTTACTGCTAGAGTAATGTCTTCTTCAGCCTGACATGTGAGTGCTGCAATTTTTATTTAAAAGGAAGAAGAAAAATATGGCTGAATTAATGAAATGAAGCACACAACATATGGTCTGAAAAAATTAGAATGAAAGGGAAAGTGCTGGTTGTCCAATCACCTAAGACTGCTAAAACTTAGCTGGGTGGATTTCTAGCAGAGAATTGCCCTGGACTGTTGAGTAGCTGAATCTCATCATCTAATTGGTCTGCTTAACTTTTACAATTTTGCTCCCGTACCTTCAAAGTGATTTTTAAATAATTTCCTAAAGGCAATGATTAAAACTGCAAAGCTCTGTATTGATCAAGAGGATGATAAAACCAGCATGCTCTGTTAGCAAAAAATCTACACATGCTAAGCACCAGACAATATTATCACAAGAACTGTGAATTATGCTTGGATTTTTCTGTCATTTTCTATAGTCTGTAGGATTCCTACAGACTATAGAAACACAGCTGAGGTAAATCTTTTGTGTTTTATTTGTCAAGCATTTCATTCATATATTTTATTCAAAAAGAAGGAACCTATCTGCAAAGGTGAACTATAGTACAGCTTCTTTGTTTACCTGTCTTTGAGCAGAAAACAGCCTCTATAGAACTCAAAGACTGACTTACACTGAAGTCAGCATTTTATAGTCAGCTGATATGAAATTGTATATGGATACTGGATCTGTAGGGTCAGCAGAAATAATGAATCCTCCTTTCTTGCATTTGTGTTTTGAGACTAGTTTACAGGGACTCAGTGATACCTAGAAATAGCTAGTTCATTCTTAGCTCTTCTGATTAGTAGTCACACTGTTTTACTTGCGAGCCATGAGTTTCTTGAGTTTAACATTTCCGAGTCCTCTGTTCCTTGCCAAAATGCTGTCAGAAGTAGTTAAAAATATAAGGGGAAATACAGACAACCACACAGGCTCAAATACTTCATCATTGCATCAGCATTTTTTCTTCACAAATCATGGCTAAAGTGGGGTCAAATCCTCAGCTTTCATAAGCTGTGATTTCATCGCAGGCACTGCAGTGAAAGCAATTTGCACCTACTAGGTGTCCATCCCAGATGACTACGATACCAGGCAGAGCCTATCTGTCTCCCACTGCAGGAGCAGCTTACACAAACCACCTTGCAGTTTTTAGAATTTTGACTTGAAGCTGTTGTGGAAAAAAGGCAGCTGCCTAATTGCACAGCTGCCTGCCTTGCACGGGCTCGTGAACAAAGTGCCACCTTCTGCTTTTGAAGATAAGATGGGACAAGAAAGTGAGTGCCTTGTATCCTTCCTACCCTCTTTTCTTTTTCTTGGCTAGGAAAGAGGGTTGTCAGGCTCTTCCCAGGCAGATTTGAGTAAGATAGGTTCTGCAGACAGGTCACTGCTGACAGGAGGAGAACCCTAGTCCCTTTCTTATCACACCTGCTATGCCTGTGGCAAGGTCTGGTGCTGCTTTGCTCCTATAGGGTGCTAATTTACTTGATTGACATGGCATTCTGTGTGTGAATTGTTACTTTTTGTGAATTTGATTAACTAATTCAGCCTAGAGGAGAGTCAACACATTGCAGGACTTCCTTCAGAGAAGAGGAAGAGGAGATAGGCTCATACATTTTAGTAATGCTGGTGTAGTGGGTTGGCTTAGCCATCTTACTTAAATACACCAGCTGTAGGGGAACTATTAGGGGTCTGAACTGGTAATTGAGCATCTGGTGAAGGGAATAGATTGCTCTGGGGAGCACGTGTGCAAGCAATTCACCTATGCTTCCTATGTGACCAGAAGTCACAGGGGCCACCCCTCCCTGGGCTCATGTAAGGGCTAGCCTCCAAAGGGAGTTTTCCTGGTTGATGGCTGTTTTCTGGTAAGCAGTGCTCTAGAGCCATGAGCTCACCTATTCAGACAGGTAAGGCAACTTCTTCCTGCATCTGGTTGCTTTTTTTCTAATGATGCTTTGTTTGGTATTGTGTAGAACTTATCAGAAGCAGTTGCTCTGTTTTCAAGGATGAATATCAACAGATTGCGTTGAGATGTTATCACTGCAGGAGAGTGGCACAGAAGCTATACTTTGCAATATGCTTTCAAGAACTCTTCAATGATCTTGGCTTTTGCTCATCCTGCTTCTTTAAGCGTTTTTCATCTCTTTCTTCTCTCAAACTACTGTCTCTTTCTCCTGTGATTTGTAGTGGACTTGCAGAAAGAAACAAAAAGTAAATGTATACTAATGTAACTCTATAGAAGGACAGCAGCAACAGCAGTGATGCAGAACTTTTGCTGAACACAAAACATGGTGTGTTTAGCTGTTTGTCTTTTTCCTTTGCATCTTCCTATCTAAGGAAGTAATTACTGTTGAATTATGTGAGAACTAAGTATCTGTAGAGAATGACTTGGCCCTATTAATTATGGGTCTCCATAAGAAAAATAATTGGTCTAATGTGTTGTCAGACCTTTTTAGCCAGCAAATATGGGACTCATTGGTATCAGATATCAATGATAGCTTTTGTTAAATTCAGATTGGTGACCTCCGACAAAAATTATAGGAAGAACTTGTGTCCGTATAATATATGTGTAATATATATTAAAGAAATATTTTTATAGACTACTAAGATGTTAGGCAAGGTCAGTCTTATTTTCTTAGGTCGTCATAAAAGGGGTTAAAGCTGATACTTACTGAATTATTGTTTGCAACAAGTCAAGAATGAGTAAGACTTTAATA